ATGTCCATTACTGGGTCTATTTGCGGATCGTGTTTCTGTGGCGTTCACTATGGCCCTTCTTGCTTTCTGTGGCTCTGTCTCATTACTACTAGTAATGATTAAGGGAGTCGTCGCATTCCAATACATTGCGGCGTTATTCAACTTTGTATTCATTTCGTTCACAGCCTCTCAATTTTATGTGTAAGTGTCAAAGCTCTCTCAAGTCCCAACTTCTCTTTTGTGTGTTCTAGTTATGTCGCCTTTTGCTATCCGCAAGATCAAATGGTAGCCATATACTGCCTTCCCTTGTGGTCTCATCCTCATACCTCTCAGGGAAAGCTAGTTGGGTTTTTGTTTGCTAATCGGAGGTCTCTCAACGCTTGTTGCTACACCAATGTATAACCACGCCCGGGTGTCAAACAACTTCTTTACTTTGGATCTCATTGTACTTGTAAGCGGATGCTAATGTGTCCACTCATCTCTATCGGTTCCGTGCTTCTTCAGATACTAGGAGTTTGTGTCATTTTCCTCTGCGTGTATCTCTACTTCGCTGTGGAACGCCCAATACGCAACGGCACTACAGAGAGGGAGGCCAAACAGGATAGCGCGAAGACTGAACTCACAGACGCCATCCATCTAAACAGTCCTAGTCCCATTTTTTTCAACAGCTGGAACATGTGGCCAGTCACCGTTTGTAGTACATAACACTTTGCAAGTAATTTATTGAAGTTTCAGACTTTTGCTAAATTGCCCGAAGAATGCAAACTTCGGCGGCTGAAATAGAACCCAAGAAAGATGACTCGTTGATCGCTTTTACAAGGGAAGCGACGGATGCCTTTTCCCCACCTCTGGAAGACGACAACCCCTACTACTACGATCTCCCTAAGAGTTACCGATGGATTATGATCGCGTCGTTCTCACTGATGGCAATTTTTATTGGACCTGGTAGGTATTGATCGTGTTCGTTATTATATATTCCCTTTTTTGCGCAGTATTTATGAATTGGGACCCGATGGATGAGATGTTTCATCGGAGCAACGCATACGTGCATTTGTGTGACCCACTAGATCCAACCTACAAAGAGAAGAATAACGGAGAAATCTTCTGTAACGAAAAGAAAAAGGCAATTGAGGGCATGTATGGACCGGCAGTCTCAACCATGTTTTGCATGGATTTGCTCGGTGGTATTATCCTCGACTGCTTCGGTGCAAAAATTGTTGGAATATTCGGCATAAGTTTTATTATTTTGGGTTGGATTCTTGTCGGGGTTTCGGGGCCAGCGTTCAACGGATATTTTCCCGGCGTGATGTGAGTTTTGCGCCACAACGTGAAATTGCATTTTTTGCTCTCACCCATCAGTATTATGGCTCTCGGGACAGACCCAGCATTTTTCAGCTGTAAGTGGCTTTCTTGATTCGTCCCCTTTTTGTTATTCTTATCTCCTCTTTAGTGCTCTCTGTGTCGAATCTTTTCCCGGGTTGGAACTCTACCATTATGAGCATTTTGGGCTCAAGTCGTTCAATTGCGTGGGTGAGAAATGTATTGCTAGATTGTTGACAATTGGATAGATATTGGCAGAGATGGTCTTTTTTAATTTTCATTTTCTCAGGCTAATGGAATTGTGATGCGAGCCATATGGAATAGCTTTGGTTTCTTCGATCAGTCTAAGAGGAATCTCCCTCGGATATGCTGGAATTCTTGTATGCTGGTTTCTCTTCATTATCTTCTTTATTCCGCTCCAAACTTATCCAAAGCTGCCTCCTGGATGTAAATTGAATACCACTGTGAAGGAGGGCAAGATTAGCACAAAGGAACGCTTGAAACGCCGCCCACGCATTGATTTCAATCTGTTCGCCGCCGAAGCTAAAATTCAAACGAAGGGATTTTTGGAGTACGCTTTGACTCTGCCCTATGCCGTGTTTTGCTTCATCCCAATGGTCGTATTCATTCGGAATAATTACTACGGAATGACGTACAAGGTAATTCTACTCTCTCCTTCTCTTTCCCTCTTTATCCGTTATTGTAGGAACACATTCCAAATGCTATTGACTTCAACACTATATGCAACCCATTAAGCATGCTTCCATGCCCTCTTTTGGGACTTTTCGCGGACAGGGTCTCTGCTGCGTACACGATGTTTCTCCTGGCTTTCTGTGGTGGCTTGTCCATGTTCCTCGTCATGTTCAATCCCGTCGTCTTGCAGTATCTCAGTGTTCTGCTTAATCTCGTTTTTTCCAGTTTTTATTGCATCCCAGTTCTATGTGTAAGTTCAATAGCAGAATTGAATATCTGAATATGATGCCTTTTTATTCCCTGCAGTTATGTCGCTTGGATTTATCCTCAGGCACAGATGGTGCGTTAATCTGTTCGGTCTCTTTGATTTCAATGTCATTCTCTCATTCAGGGAAAATTGGTGGGCGTGTGTGTTCTCGTGGGTGCCTTAGCGGCCCTGGTTGCGAATCCGATGGCGAATTTCGCTAAGGACTCGAATTCTTTTTTTGCTATGGATCTGATTGTCGTTATTCTGGAAATTCTCGTCTTGGTGGTTTGCGTGTTCCTGTATTATAAAATTGAGCGTCCCCTCCGTCACCGGAACAGAGAACAACCGGCCCTTGAATCTTCCGATCGCGATCTCTGATCATCGCCACATGAAGGTCAATGTGTACTTTTTTGGAGAATTCGTCGACTCATAATTTTCTGATATCGCTTTTTGGGAATTCAAAAAACTGATCATCTTCGTTTTTCACTCTTTTTGCAGTCTTTATCGCTCAAGTTTTAAAGAACTTCCATGTTCAGCCAAATATGAAGCAATTGTTCTTCTAGTACTTGGACATTGAATTATATTATTTGGGACAAATTGTGATTTGGAACATTGAATTTCGATTTCACATCATAAGAGAGCGGCAAATTCCTGGTGAATGATTTGAGCTCAGTTTTCAACTTACGGAGAGCCGTCATTGAAGTTGTAGTGTCTTACCGAAAAAAAGGGAGCAACGTTATTATCTCCCAAAATATTAAAATTATTTATTGGTAGAGAAAGGGCACAATTTATGCAGAAGCTCTTGATTTCAGAAGTTTGATAATGAACAGAACAAATGGGCCATTTGGTGCTTTAGCGATGTCTTTATCCTGCTTGAGAATGTGGCTTGGTAGATCCATTTCGAGCAATTGCCAGAGACAAGAGTTTGTGAAATGGTTGCAATTCCATGAAAGAATATCGTAAGTTTCTGGAGTAAATGCGTACTTGATGGAGGCCAAATGACTGCAACAAGGAAAATAGAAGAGCAACACAAAAAACAACTCTCACTCCTCGAATTCACTTTTGGTCACTTTGGTGTGTCCCATAAATATTTCCTCAACGAGATTCATATTGAGGGCTTCCTCAATCAACGTTGGTCTCATCTTAAGTATTCCGTCACCTAAGAAACAATAGTCGAAGCAATAAATCTGAAATGTGTCTGAAATCCACGATCGTCTGTAGACCCACCATAGAAATATTCATAACCATGCACCAGCACTCCAGTGTGCCACACCCCTGTAATTGAACGAAACCATGAAATGAATTAGTAAGGGGAAGACTCGCCCTCCAGTTTCTTCCCTAACAACAACTTCGACCATCGTTGAGCTCTACTCCAAAGAATCAATCACAACAGACCGTCAATTCACACAAAATACCTTCCTTCCGTTAGATCGTATATCCGCAACGTGACTGGAAACCGTTTCCTCGAAGGAATAGAAGAATCTACATGCGGGAAAACCGGAACAAAAATTCTCGACACAAGAACGCTTTATTTGATTCTTCTCATGCGAAGAGACGGCTCCCGTTGATTCTCGGCGATGCTTCGAATCACTTTTTTTTCTACAGGAACGCGTTTTCTCTGTAAAGGAAGTTGGAAAAAGCGAAGGCACCGGAGGGACGTGCTGGAGACTTTGGGTGAAACAAACTGGAGTGTGGGTCGGTGTGCTATTGGAAGCTTGAGAAGAGAGTAAGGGACGAGTCACAAGCAAGCATGTCTAACGAGGATCGCGTATTTGCTCGATTGCTGGTGAGAGAATTGATCAAAGAGGTTCGATCGAATTCAAGTTGATCAGACACACGGTTATCTCTCCAGGAAAATGGAACTTTTATTGCCAGAAATCTGAACTCCATAATGAGGAGGCGTCCTTCTTCTCCGTTGCATGTTGTGAGCTTCTTTCTCTCTTCTTTTTCCTTTTTTTGACGATGACGAACATCCCCAACAGCAGCCTCTAGAAAAAGACTTCTGCCCGATCGATTCATCGTTTTTTGAAATTTCTGGCCCTGATGAAGTCGCATGTTTTGAGGTTTGCTAATATCTCCAACCACGCAGAAAAACAAACACAATCAAACACAAAGAAAACAAATTCAGAGTAAAAACGATTTTCATTAAACCACAGACTCTGCAAGAGTGTTGAACCCGACAGGCCCAGAGAGAGAAGGACGATAATCCCGTCTGGAACGTAAATTTGACTGGAGACGATGCTCGCTCGCTGGTGACCCGATCGTTTGAGAAAGCGTTGTTGCTGATCTGAATAACAAAGAGACAAAAAATGGTGTACGATAAATAACAAATAAGAAGAGTTGGAGCTGAAAACTCACGCGGGGCGAAAACCCTGATTGTGCAATCCAGATGCCAAGCGAGAGGAAAGTCTTTCGGTAGAAAATCTGGAGAGAAAAAACTGAGACTGGCAGGGAGGAAAGGACGCGTACCTTCCGCGAGAGGCCAGAGCAAGATTTGTTCCCCCCGCCAGCAAATCCGCCTCCTTCATTCCTGCCTGAGGAATGTACTTGATTTTATGGGCGGGAACGAGATGGAGAGCAAGATGCACAAGAAGTGTTCCTGCCCCCAATGCGATACAGATTCCCCACTGAGCCCACGTCAGTCCATCTAAATGATTCTCGAGAGCATAACCCCCAAATTGAACAAGAAGAATTTGTCCCAACACAAATGACAACCACGATGATCAACCAGAGAGGATTAGAGAATGCTCGGCTGAAGACATTAATTTTCATCATTAATTTGACGAGCGTTAATCATATTGAAAATTTGGAGCCAAACAAATGTATTGAATACAACTGTGTAATGTCGACTGGGTCCGATATTCTGATAAGATCATAATGAATTGATCGTTTATCACTTCTCTACTTACAATTGTCCAGGTGCGTTTATATTCCTCATGATTCGAGAATGGAGTAAATCGACGACCTGATGTAACATAAGTATGCCCGTCTCCATGTGTTGAAAATTGAGAAAATCCTCCATACGCTCCTTCGAATTGCTCGTAATGAGGAGATGATTTCTCAGGAATCCATGAATCTGCAGTAAATATCAAGACCATCATAACCGCCAATTGATACGCGGCTTGTCCCAAAATATTTCGCGTCATCAACTGAAAGACAACGACAATGAGCGAAACACGTGAAGTTGTTCCGTACTCTATTCACGAGATATTCGTTTCGAGAATGAGGCGGACGATCGAGTAATCCTTCAGTTGGAGGTTCCGTAGCCAATGCAAGTGATGCAAACGTGTCCATAATCAGATTAACCCATAGAAGCTGAACTGCATTCAATGGTGAAGATCGAAGAATCACGGCACCAATAAACGCTGTGATTACGGCAACAACATTGACCGTGAGTTGAAATTGTAAAAATCGTCGAATATTATCATAGATATTTCTTCCCCATTTCACAGCACGAACAATTGATTCAAAATTGTCATCCAAGAGAACAATATCAGCCGCTTGTTTGGCAACCTCTTTTCCTGCAATACCCATTGCAAATCCCACGTCTAAAACAAACAAGAGAATCGATCAGCAGAGAAACAATTTCAGTACCAGCTTTTTTGAGGGCAGGCGCGTCGTTCGTTCCGTCACCCGTGACAGCAACGACGGCTCCGAGCGAACGCAAGCCAACGACAAGCGCGTACTTGTCCGTAGGCTGCGAACGTGCGAGAACTTCCAGTTTCTCCGCGATCTTTTCAAATGCGTCCATATTTCCGAGAACATCAACCCGAGTCTTCTTCACCAAGAGTCTTTCGACTTCCTCTTTGTCGACAGACGTTCCGCGATCCCGTTTCGCTCCGATCGGACACGGGCAGCAACGCGAAGAGCCAGATTCATTTGTGGGACTCTGAGTGTGTGATGCTGCGGAATCACCTGTTGATGTTGTCATGACGTGTGGCTGTTGATCATTTTCGATTTTATGATCAGGTTCCGTTTCGGAATCACGTGGCTGATCCGCCCCTTTTTGGTGATGACTGGGCAACGGAAGTAATGGACGGGACTGACGACTCGAAGCCAAAGATGGGGATGATTGTCCGGCTGTGGTCGTCTGCCGTCGAGACGATGCCGGAGATGGCGGTGCGAGTCGCTTTCGGCCTGAGGGCCGTTGGTTGAATGCAGCCGGACAGTCGCATTCTGCAGTTCTGCAATTCTCGCAAATAATCCCCCCAACCTACAAACGCGCGCATCCCTTGAATCATCCAAATATTTCGAGTCATACCGTCGCGTAGAAATCTGATCCCGTCATTGCAAGTCCGCCAGTCTCTGGATGATAAATGTTGCACTTGATACCGATTTGTTTCGCTGTTTCAATGTTGTCCCCGGTTACCATTCGAACGCGAATTCCGGCATCCTGGCAACGTCGAACGGCCGCCGGAACTTCCTCGCGCAAAGGATCTCTGAAAAAAAAACACTTGAACAACACCCAGGTGACATTTCGTACCTCATTCCGGCTAGTCCCAGACAAGCAAGTCCCAACTCCATCTTGTAGAATTTTCGCTCTTTCATCCATCTCAAAGTGGACGTCGGGGTCACTGGTTGCTGAAGGACTCCTGCACTGGGTACCACCAGAAGCGTTGAACCATAAGCGCCCTTCTCAGAAGGATTCTGAAGAAAGACGTCCGATTGAGACGCAAATTCGTTCCAATCTTTCTCTTCATTTGGGTTAAAATCTTTGTATGCGAGACAGATTGTTCTCAAAGCTTGGCACGTCATTTGGTCAACAACTTGTCGTTCAATACGCTCAATGTGAACAGGTTCAATCCTGCAATAACGCAACAGCTTCCTCTGAATCACGTCAATACAAACGTTCTAATTGGATGCATTTCTTCACCAACAGAAACGACATTCCTTACGTTCCTCAGATTTCCTGCGGAATCAATTCGAGATCGGCACAACCGGAGAACGATTTCAACGGCCCCCTTCACGTAGACGCGATAATGTTGCGGTTTCTCTGGATCCGGACATTTGATAACAGTCGTCATCAATTTGCGTTCACTGTTAAATGGAATTCGCTGAATTATTTTATCTTCAGTTCCTTTCTCAGCTCGAATTTTGTTGTAATCGGAACCCATATTCTAGATTAACAACACACCCACAAAAAAACAATTGAATGCAGCGAATGCAGAACTTCCTTACGATTAGAAATTCCAATAGGGCGCACTCAGTTGGAGACCCGATGTGCTTGATGGCTCCAACAGGGTGAAGGTTTCCTACTTTCGCTCCCGACACTTCTTCCAAATAGGCAGTTGAATTCAGCGCGATTGATTCGAACAAAATTTCAGAATAATAATTCGGTAACAGACGAGGAAAGCTGAAGGTCGTGACTCCTCCGGTATCAATGTTCAACTCTCCTTCTGCTAAATGCGGTAACGTCGTTCGTCCATGAACTTCTGATAGTTTCGAGCCATTCCAGAATGCTTCAACTGCCATCTGATTTTTCGTCAACGTGCCGGTTTTATCCGAACAAATCTCGTTGGCACCTCCCATGGTTTCGCAAGCTGCAAGTCGACGAACATAATTCTGATCCTTTAGCATTCTCCCGACGGAAAAGGCAAGCGACAAGGTAACTGCTAAGGGAAGACCTTCAGGAACTGCAACGACAACAATTGTGATAGCTTCAACCAAGAATTGAATATGGGATGATGTCACATCTCCGAAGTTGGAATCTGTTCGGTCTTCTGGATGAACAGCGAATAGAATCCAATATCTGTCGCAAACAGCCAAAGTTGTGAATATGTCCAAGCATTCTCTTACTGAATGATCAATACTAAGAGGGTAAGACATGCTGCAGCAAATCCAACGTTCCCGATGTCACGAGCAAGAGCATTTAATTTGTCTGTGGGAATGAGAAAGTAAAAATAGAAAAATCTTCGGCTGACCGACTTTGAAGAGGCGTTGGCTCAACATCAATGCTCAACTTTTGGAGCAGTTGACCAGCCTGATGGAGAATAGATGAACAAACAACTTATTGTGAAGGCGGCAGCACCTCAGAATTTCCTCCAACGGCAACAACAAGTAAAATTCCTGAGCCATCGGTTACCACGCTTCCTGATAGATGAACGACAGGGTTTAGAGCTTTGTAGCGAGGCACTCACCAGAAAGAACAACAGGGCTCTTGATGGCTCGATGGAGATCTTGGGCTGCTTTGGGACTTGATTGCTGCGCTTCGTTCCGCTGGACTAAACTCTGCGCTAGGGAACTTTTTCTGACTGTATGAGATTCCCCTAAGAGAGAACACAAGGAAGTGTGGCTTCCACCTCCTCTTCTGGTCTACCTGTCATTGACGACTCATCCAGCGAGAGATCTCGGCAACTCAAAACCAAACAATCCTAATTCAAAATGACTATTGCACCGTAATAATATTACAGCGTACTGTTGGGATTTCGTCCCCTGCTTCGACAAGAATTATGTCGCCAACCAGAAGGCTTTCAGTGGATATTTGATGCAGATGTCCGTCACGTCGACATGAACAGTGTTTCTCATCTTTCTGAACTAAAGCAGCGAATTGTCGTTCTTTCATCCAATCGTTTCCAGCAGTGACGAGGAGAACAATAACAACTGCTAGAAATATCGCAGCTCCTTCAATCCATTCTGAAAAACAGAGATGAAAATCAGAAATTCACGCGCATTCATCGATGTCTCAAATGTTGATGAATAATAAATGCTCTAAGACTCCCACCAATTTCCTTGCGCTCCCCAAAAACGAGTCCAAGAATAAGTGAAACAATTCCAGCTGCCATGAGAACGCGTAGAATGAAATCCTTTGATGCCGTCCACAGCAAATACCAGAAAGCTGAAAGAACACAAAGTAGAAACAGCCAGAAGCACCTGAATTGTCATTTTGGAGTGAGTCACTACTACCAGCTTACGTGTGGCTTTTCGGACGACGTTGACATTCGTCGAAAACACTTCTTTCCTTAATTCTTGCAAATGAAGATCGTCACTGGTCCCTTCCTCAGCCGTCGTTCTGAGCGCTTCGCACAGACCTTCTGCTGTTTTTTTCACTGTTAAGTTTTGAATCAAATCAAGTTCCTCATCGAATGTCCGTGTGGCATACGCCCTCACCACACCCATCAGCTCTTTTACCCCAATTCCACCAAACAGGTAATTCTCGTTTAGAGGAGGTAACTCGACCTCCCCCACCTGAACCAATTGTCCGATCTTGTTTAACTCTCTCTGGACCACTTTTTTTGTCTAGTTTCGGGCTCTCTGTTGCATACATATCAAGTATTTCTTTGGTGTCCTCTTCATCATTCCTTGTTCGGGAATCCTTGAACTCATTCATTCTGATCTCTCGAACTCTTCAAGTAATCAAATATAGAAAATTGTACAAATAGACATATGACACTCACAGTGCTACAGCAACTAAAAGGTACGGTGCCAAAAATGACTCAAGAGCGGAACG